TTAGATTGGAGAATTGCACCAAATCCAATAGAGGCAGCAAAGATATTCAGAGAAGACATCTGAAATCAACATTCAGCTGGAAAACCATCAAGTCTGACCATGGATCTTGGAGAAGGCGAAGAGGACAGAGAGAGAGAGAGCAATCCTTTCTTTTTACAAGATGGCAAATGTTGAGTGGGCCAGAGCCTTGACATGCACACTTAAAGGTAAACTGGCTACACACTTAATAAAACTGAAGAGAAAAAACAATGTCTAACAATATTTTCTGCTTACTGTTGTGTGTACTGTGTAGGAGATCCAGCTGTTGGTGATGGTGTGACTCGCCATTTCTTTGCAACCATAATGTCCAAACTTCAGTGTGGTTTTGAGATCAATTTTGGTAGGTAAACTTAATACTTTTTACTCAGTTTGTGTTAGTGATGTTTTATGATGCACTCCTATTAGATATGGGTTAACTGAAGTGATGGCTATTTATTTGAGTTGGTAAAGATACCAGTCACCTGTTTGACAGTGCTTTGTCATTTGCCATCAGGTTTTGTGTTTGGTTTCCAGGCTGAAAAGCAATCAGTCTTCCCTGACTTGTGCACTAACCCTGAACACTAAACCTAAATGTAAATGTACCTGTTTCTAACCTGTAGATTTTTGCAGGATGTAGTCAGCTGATCAATAATGTCCATTACTAATGCTGTATGACAAATATTTATGTGCATTATACTACTATCTATATGGTATCTGTTTGTCTCTTTTAAGCCCCAGGAGGAACTCTTCTTCTTTGAGGGTGAACAAGATCATCTGATTCCCTCCACCTCCCATTACCTTTTGGAGAGTGACTTAGTTGTTGTCGCTGGCCGAATGATTGGTCATTCATTTTTACACAGTGGGCCATGTCTGGGTGGATTGAGCCCAGCAATCCTACATGTGCTTTGTGGTGGATCCCCAGAAGAAGCCCCAATAGACATTAAGGATTGTGCTGACCTTGACATCCGTGAGACTATCAAATTGGTATGATAGATTTTTTAAGTAGATCTTATTGATAATATGCAGTGCAAGGATGATAAAAGAAATAATACTGTATGTTTGGGGGTAAAATTGATCATCCTTTGAGTAAATATGGTTTTAACAGGTTACTGATTGAGGGGCCTGGCTTGTGATCACAAGTAAAATGAAAATAAAATGTTATTTTCAATTCATTTTAAGACCAGTCAGTGGTGTTAAGTGTATGATTGATAAGAGGTCTAATCCAAAGTATCTGCATCAAATTTGAATATGTATGTATGTATGAAAGAGTAAGTCTTGAGACATCAAGAATTAATTCAAATGTATATTATTAGCTGGATGGTACCACAGAATTATCATCTGAAGTCAAGATGATAATCACTGAGCTGGCTCTGTCCTGGGATTTGCCTCCTGTCACATCACAGAACAGAAGATGGCTGCTGGAGAAACTGCTGCTCCATGCTGTGAGTATTCTAGACCTAACAGGTCCAGTATGGTCATGTCAACCTGACTAATCAGAGTTGAAGTTTGGATGTAGAACTAGATTTTGTCTTTAACATTGTGGCTTTTTTATGAAATACCTTACAGGTGGATGCTGATGAGTTTATGAACATACTTACTTGCAAATTATTTTGTAGGTCCTAGGAAGAGTAGGCAGGGGAGTAGGCATCATTTTGTATCCACAATTGGGATACCGCTGCAGAATTCGGGTCACAGTTTTGTCCAAATCATTGTCCTCCAGTGAAATCAATAGATCATGAACTCTGATCATCATCAAAAAAAAAAAGTTTACAAGAGCAATGTCACCTTTCTTACAGTATAAGCAAAACACATTTATCACAGGAAGTCTGTTGCTCTGTCATGAGCTCAGCTATAAGATTTTAAGGTGTAGCTTCAATTATATTGGGGGTAAAAAGTACGATGGACATCCTGCGGTTCCTTCATGTATCTCTGAGGATGTAAAGTTGGTGGGTTGCTTCATGAAGACCATCTAAGCCTTCTGGATCAACTTCCACATCAATATATGCATTTATCTGAGCCAAGTCGTCCATTAATCCTTCCAGACAAAACTGGTGATAGTCATTGAGTGCATGGTGGTCTAAGTCGTTTGCTAATGATCTTAAATCATTTGCAACTTCTCGCAAAAAAACTGCCATTCATAGACGAGTGGAACAAAAAAAAAACAGAAATGTCAACAAGTTCAGCTTTGGCTTTGAAAAAAGCGAACAGCACCAGTCCTATGCACCAGGGAGCTCTGTCAGCAAGGGGAAAGCAGTAGAACCTAACTGATCAAACTGCAGCAAATCCTGCTTTAGGGTGGGGTTAGAGCCGCCCACCTTATTAGCATACAAATACAGAAATAAATAAATGTGGAAATGTAAAAATGCAGAAATAAATAAAAGAAAACTTCCTTTGTAGAAATTTTATACATATAACAATTTAAAATGACATTGAAACCATTTATTTATATATTAAATTATTTATTTATGTATTTTATTTTAGCATTTATTAATATATTTTCCTTTTTATAAATGCATTTATTTATTTCTATATTTATTTTAGCATATAATTATTTATTTTTTCTTTTAATCATTCATTTAGTTAATTATTTATTATTTTACTTAATTATTTCTGTATTTATTTATGCATTAATGTAGTGATTTCTTTATTTCTAATTAAGTCATTTTTCGTCCTCCAAAAGAACCAGGTGCTATAGATCGCCGTTACAACCCCATTTCGGTTAAAAATACCAACTACTTCAAGCAGCAAAAGACGACCACGAAGGGACTCGAACCCTCAATCTTCTGATCCGAAGTCAGACGCCTTATCCATTAGGCCACGCGGTCAGATCGACATAAAACCTGCTGTGTACCCTAGAAATGGTTTCAATATGAAGGAATTCAGACTATGCTTTAGATTCTTCTGCGTGTGCAAATGTCATTTTATACATACCATTATGGAGCTTTATATTTTCCAATAACCTAGCACTAGCCTGACCTTGCCTCGCCCCTTGCATGTCGTAAATTCTGCAAACTGGTCCTTGTGCTTTAATCGGACAGAATTGTGCATGTTTGTCCTTTGTGCATGTTTTTCACTATCAACCTCTTCTTTGCACTGAATATTGGAAAATACAATTTCACTCAGTCAACAAGGGCTTCTACCTCTGAAAATAAGATTGCTAAATACGGCCGGCAGTGTATGAATGATTACAGGTGAGGAGGCGTGTCCAGTTTCGGCGTGTAGACAGATAATGTTAGGGCTATAGCCTAATACCTGTTCGGAGTCAACCGGAGAAGCGAACTTAACTTAATGTTCAGTTACGTCTTCATTTTTCAATCCGTACTTTCTCTTCAATAAGTCAAGCACGACTAAAACATAGGTGGAACTAGCAACGTTTGGTGTTGTTTGGGCCATCAGACTACATGACATTCACTTCTACAAGCCAAATGCTACAAGACTGCAGACCAGCCTGTGTATCACGTACCTTAGCCCGAGACACCTCCAGCCGCTCCCTATGACACCGCGCTGCTCTAACGTCCCATAGAAATAAACCTGTTGAAATTGTTGTTGATCAAAGCTAAGAAAAATATTAGCTACTAATTGTTGTACAGTTTTTTTTCTTCTGTGACTTCTGTATAATTATTTCTTCTCGATGAGGCTATTTTATTAGTATTTATTCCAGTCACGTGATCACAGTGCGCGTATCATTGTAAATTAAAATGTTTGTAAATTAAAAACTGCACACAGTTCCTCAGTTTCTTCTACCTCCCTATTCAGTGTAATCATAATTGTAAATAAATAAAACAACACAGGATACATTAAATGCATTGCTTTATTAACAGTGTAGTAGGTCTTAGTTCAATAATGATATGAACTAATACTAGACCAATAATGATATTATAATAATGTGAACTGAAAGTGAGGAAAATTAATACAAATTAAACAGGTTTATTCTGACAGTATGCTAATGACATTCAAATACAGGCACTGAAAAGGTAAAATATAATGATAAACATTCACACACTAATAAATAACCAGGTACAGTTTCATATTAGCTATCCTACATATGGTGAGCCTTTAAACTTTTGCAAGTGCAGTAGGTAAGACATTGCAGTACAGAAACCCTACGCATCTTTATAAAATAACGTTATAGTTTGGCATTGTTTTTTCTATAACATATAATCCCCCCAGTATGAATCATTCTAACATACGTGAGCACTGACCTTAAATGCAGGTTATACACAACGGTTGCCCAGCAGAATTAAACTGCTGCGACAGTAAATTACACTTTACTTCACCTTTCTGTCAGTTCTGGGTTGCTGACAATCTTCCATCCTCCATTCTTTTTAAACACATCAGTCTACACAATACAAATGTAGGGTCCCTCTAGTGTCAGCTGTGCCACATGAAAGGTTTAACACTTGGTTATGTCTTAAAATTTACTGAAGAATCGGATGTAAAATATTAGCTGTAATAACAATCATTATAACAAAGGTTTGATACATAGAAGGTTACCCAACAAAGCCATAAGTATTGTATATTTTGGGGAAAAGGTGCAATATATTTGCAGGTTAGTATTATAGTTTGGTTTGTTAGACAAACCCTCATACTGGTTACAGTTCTATAATCTGTCTGTCCATGTACTGTATAATTAAAGAAAAAAGTCTCAATGTTTATATAAAAAGGTTCAAAAGTATATAGTATTCATTATTGTAATATGTGTTTTGACGACCTGATCTTTTTTTAAGAACCCAACTTCCTGTTTTTGTTTTGCTTTGCTTTTTTCCCCAACCAGTGGCCTTTTTTTTTTACTAATGACAACTGAAAGTAATACATCTTTCATGCTTTTTCCGTTTTTCATTGCTTGGTCTATGAGATGTAGAAACAAAACTGTTTCCCAACAACCAAAAATTGCTTATTTTGAATATGGTGCAAAAACATTCCCTCTTACTTCAGAAACCCTGCTTTCTACTATCAGGATTTTTATATTCGATATGATGAGGGTACATAATGTCCAGGAAATGGTGAAAACAGCAATCTGGAGAGAATGCCGTTTGCTACGTTTCTCTAAGACAACAGCTTATCAGCATTTAGTGGAAACATTACTCCAAGATATTCAAAGCTCTCTAACTCTTTACCTCTCTAACACTAACTATCTAAAATAAGCTTTGATTATATACTGTGGAGAAATAAATAACCATTGTTTATTTTAACTTATTGGCTTAATAGGGCATTGTAGTGCAAATGAAAATGCACTTCAGTATTCATAAGCGAGCTGCATTAACACAGTGAAGGAAGAATGTTTTTAATTTTGAATTTTTGAAACACGTTTCTATTCTGGGTTCCTTTCCTGATGTTTTAGTTAGTGTCCATTTTTTATGTTGTTATCAACAACATAAATCCAACATTTTGGGAAATAGCCTACACATGTGCTTTTATGCCACCAATAGAGTGATACCACTCTTCCTACAGTAAATATGAAGCTACAGACAGGCTGGTTGGCTTAGCGTAACACCAACATAAGGACTGAGGGCAAAGGGAAGTGGCTAGCCTAGCTCTGTCCAAAGGTAATAAAATCCACCAACTAATGCCTACCTGCTCCTGGCCAAAAACAGTCTTGTACATACCCCCATAAAAACCAAAGTTTGTCAGTCACCGGCACTTTTTGGGAAGAGCTGCATCCTTGTTTGCAGTTTTTATGCTAAGCTAGGAAAGCCAACTGCTGACAGCTTCATAGTTACCATGCAGATATTCTCATGTTTCTGTGGTAAATATACATCTAGACTGAAAACAGGCTTTGTCCAAAGCTGACAATGTCCACCCATCACCGCCTGTAAATATGACCATTTAACAAGTTATATGTCATTGAGTTAATCTGTTAAAAAAAAAAAAGTGTAACAACCACAATTTATGACTTCTGCTCTCGGGCCAGATATAGATCTATTCGTTATCGACAATATTAGACTAGCTTTTCCCTTGTTTTCAGTGTTTATGCTAAGATAGGTGTAGCCACATCCTCCATGCCCACATGACAGTGTTCAGCCTGTTTGTCTTTTCTCCAAACCCTCAGAAAGAAAGCAAATGTTTCCCAAAATGTCAAACTAGTCCTCAAAATCTCTCAATAAAAAGGTGAGGCACAGCAAACTTTAAAAAAAAGTAAAAGGTAAAGTCACACACAGATTATGGTGAAAGATAATAGGAATGTCATTCAGACTAAAGGCTTAATGAAAATGTTGAACAGTGTTAATTTGTATGTTGTAATGGTAGGAGAATTAGTAGCACCTTAAGTTTATTCTTGACAACATGACAGGAGAGTATCCATCTGTCTTTCTTAAATGCAGTTATACAAAGTTTGTAGTGTCCCTTATAATAAACTTCAGAGATACAATTCAAGTTAGTATTAGATTGCACTCATGTTCTTGTCTGAGATGAAATTTTCTAGTGAAGCTTTAATATTTAGTGCACTTGGGGCTCATAAGAGGCAAACTGCTCTTGAAGTGTTACTGTGGTATATGCCTACGGTAATAAGGCAGTGAAGCAAGTACATACAGGTATAGTAGGAACACTGAATAAAAGAATATGAGGGGACTAAACTCAAACTAGTTTTTAGTTAATTCATTTAGGTTTTGCATATGTGAATGAATTCCCCAAAGTTTTAAAATTAACCTCATGCTAATCTGATTCTTGTGAACAGTGTGGTCTGATTTCACATCAACTGAACTCTACATCAGTTTTTGAGACACACACTGTAAGAATGTTTACACCAAACCCCTCTTGACATACTTGAGCACTATACACTGAAAAGAACTCATCCTCTCCAGACCTGACAGCATGCCATTAGTGTTTACTAGATTTGCCAGATTTCCCCGATTTGCTAGCTTTAGCAGCTTTGGTAGCTTTGATGTCCATCTTGGTCTTCTGGATACGTGAGAAGATCTCCTTAAAAAGGGCTTTGTACTCTGGAGTATTCTGTCCCAGCCGCTTATCCACTGCCTCCACCTGCTTGCTGATGCTCTCGATGGCCTCAGGAGTAGAGGGTGATTGGGTAGGGGTAGGGGGAGGTGCCGGGGTGGGGCCCATGGCACAGTCTTTCATGGATGGGTCTCGGGAGACAGGTCTGGAAGTTTGGACCTCGACATGACAAAGGCTCTCCTCGTGGCGCCTACACTTCCCTAACAGCTCCTCATATTTCTCCAGTAAGGCGTGGTACTGTTCATCCACCTCCCTGAGAATGGACATCCCTCTCTTCCTCACACTGTTGGCATGGAGAGCGTAGCTCCCTCTCCTGCTGCCGGATGCATCACAGGCAACAATGGCATTGAGCGCTGTGTCACTGCAGCTTTTCCTCACGGGGCCGGACTCAGGTAATGCCTCGCCTCCAACACCTACTCCACCTTCAGGCCCTTCCCTTACACCTCCTCCCGTCTCACTGATCTCCACTTCCAGAAAGGTGTCAGTCTCTGGGGTGCTATTAAGGACAGTCTGGGTGAGAGTCACACCATCATCCTCGCTGCTCAGCAGTAATGTCCGAGCACGACGTAGCTGCTGCAGCTCCTGTAGCTCCACCTCCAGCTCCCGTACTCTCACCTGACAGCTCTCAGCATCCTAGGTGCAAACACAGTACAGTTTTTACATTGAGATGTATTTATTTATTCAAGAGCTTGCTTGAGGTTATCTTGAGGCTACTGCTGCCAAAGCTGGTTCAACCAGTTATTAAAACACTGTTGCCATTACTTTTTCCACCATCACTTTGTATGTTTCAAGAGTGTGTTCAATAAAGACATGAAAGATCAGGACTGTTTGTGTTTTAACAGCTTAGAAATGTTGTGTTTGTAACTTTGGCGATGCTCAGATCACATTTCATGACTAATTTTTGCAGAAAACCAGGAAATTTCAAACAGTGCCATTACTTTTTCTTGTGACTGTGCATTCAATTTATAATGGTGCCAAAGTATATTGCATTCATTTGGCTGAGTGACTCTGGTAGCTTTAACTAATGTCAAAGAGAGAAAAGCAGCATATCCTCACATTTTAGAGGCAATATTTAAAGAATATTTGGCATTTTTAGTTGATAAACGATTTAATTATTAACCCTGACATTGTGTCCATATGTCATATATCCATCCTGTCAACCTAATTTTGTGAAGCTGTGGTAGCAATTAAAGTGCATGTTTTCCAGCCAGGAAACCAAAACTGTTGACTGACAATCACAGCATGATTCTTCACCATACCTGCACCCGTGTCTGCAGCCGGGAGAACTCTGCAAGTAGCACATTGCACTCCCTCTCCACCCCTTCCCTGCGCCCCCTCTCCGTCCGGACAGCAGCTCGCAAGGCCGACACCGCCTCCCTTAAATGCTGGCTCTCTTCTTCACATGGTTGACGCTTTGTATCCACAGTAAAGCTCTCAGCTCTGCCCACTACAAACTCATCCTCATATCTGACAAAATGACAGAAATATATATCCAGTTCCTTACTTGGCAGCATTTTTCACTGTTGTAAAGAGGAATTGCCACCTGCTCCCCTTCTTTACACACTGTGGAAAAATAGGTACCTGGGTGCTGTGCAAAGCTCCCTCAAGCAAGGGAATGAATGGATGGTCTTGCGTCGTTCCCTCTTCTCCCTCCTGACTCTGAGCTGCTCCATGGAGCGAAGCTGCTCCACTTGCCCTGACAGAGTTTCCACCTGGTTCTGCAAAGCCTCAATGGTCCCTGTTAACCTGATCCAGGAGGAAGAGCAAATGTTTAAAGGTACATTAACTAAAATTTTACACAAGTGAAAATGAGACAGGAAGTAGGAAACACTTTGAAAAGACTTCTGATAAAATACACATCTCACTTTTATGTGGCTTGTCCTAGTAGATTTTGTTGTCTTTTTCTCTTCGTTCTAGGCAGTAGTTTGCTAAATATTGTCACTGGACCTTATACATCCATGTATCAGTGTCACCACTGAAATAGGTATTCCCCTTGACCACAGGGGGACGTATTTAGCACATTGCTGCTTGGCAAACCAATATGAGGAGAAGAAGAACACAAACTACCGGCTACCTTCTATTCTAATGCACACTGGCAGACAAAAAATAAAATATAACAAAACAAAAACAAAGGTTTGACTAGAAGAATCTTGGTTGACTGACGGGCCTCGTGACTAACAATATGACTAGTCAACTTTGAGGGGGCAGCCCTAGTTAGAGCTAACTTAGATTAGCTTTAACAAGAAACAGGATAAACATTTCTAGTTCCCCTCACCTCTCTATCTTTTCCTGCGAGGACTTGCTGTCTGTCACCAGTGCGTGATTGGTGTGTTCAAGCTCTCTGGCAGTCCCATCCAGCTGTTCGTACACTTTGGCATGCTGCTCATTCATGTCCCGGAGGACCTCCAGCTGCTTCGACAGGTACTGTCGCACAAACACATACACATGCATTATAAGAAAACCTTTACATAAAAAGCACACATATGACATATGTACACAGAAGAACATTCGTAGTTACAGGTGTACATTTGTAACAGCAGTACAGAAGTACAACAGCCCTCACTGTTATTTACTGTATGTGATTTATCAATTATTTTTCAGGATTATTGTCTATTTAGATATAAATTAATAAACTGCTTTAACATTTCATAGAATAAATAGTGATCTCATCATTTCTAAACCTTTCCAGTTATTGTGGAATAGTGGATATTCACATTTCTTTTATCTAAAGATTTGGTTTGTGAAGACTGAAGGCCACAGACAGTTACTAAATTGATGCTGAGATTAGAGTACAGCTGTACCCAAGTATGAATTTTGTCATTTATGATCCCTGTCAGGTTTGCTCGGCCGCTCTGGCCTCCCTCACCTTTCCTACTGTCTCTTGCCCCATTACTCTTATCACGTTCACCTGTTCCTCACTCCCTTATCACCAGCTGCACTTGATTAGGTCGCTCACTATATTACCCGGTTTCACTCCTCAGTCACTTGCCAGTTCGTTCTCGTCTCTAGGCCAACTTTACTCCGTGCTCTTTCGTTATTTTGTATGTATTTATCCCCTAGCCAGCTACTCCGCCTTAATTAACCGCCATCACCCCCGACCAGCCAAGGAGTGACCCCATCAACGCAGCTCGGCCCAGCTCTCCATCTCCTGCTGTTGGTCAAACACCCGGCTACTACTCATCGACAGGACTACGCACTATTTCCCTCTGTGTATTTTTACTCTCATCATCACTGTATATAATAAATCACTGCATGCACCGAAGCCGGCTACCTGGGTCCGCCTCTTTCCTCGTTCGCACACTGACTGGTGCGAACGGCTCCTAACAATCCCTCTTATTTTCTGTCTGTCTGTCTGTCTGTCTGTCTATGAGGCAGGGTACACACTGGACAGTGCGCTAGTCTATGGCAGGGCTGACATGCAGATAAACAACCACACACACTCACACCTGACAAAAACTTTATTATTTTATATATGTACACACACACACATATATGCTGGAGGATAACAGTTACACTTTAACACAAGAAAAAGGAAGACAGCATGAATCCCCATCACCAAAGAAGCAAAGACACAAAGAAACGGGACGTTTGAACGTTAACTGTGGCAATTGAGCCATCTATTGCAAAGACCCGGTCAAGTCAGCTGCCGTTCAATATTTTTTGTTGCGCTGGTTTTCAATCAATTATGGTAAGGGTGCTTGGAGCGGCCCAGATGGATGTTTAAAATCTCGATGAGTGTTTACTAATAGGCCTAACAAATAAAATGTTATTATTGCACATCCTAATGTGTGTGTATTCAGCCTTCTTGCAAAATACAATATGGTCAAATGAGTCACTTTTAGCTTTTGCTTGGTCAAGTCAGCTGCGCTTGTTTTCCGAGTAAGCAATTTGTCCTATGTTTACTATGAAACTACTGCGAGGGCTGTTGAGCACAATGCATGAAAGCTTTGCTGAACATTGCAATCTTCAACATCACCACTGGATGTCCCCAAATCGCACATACTGCACCTTTTATGACTGCATTGTAATAACATATTAAATATAAAATGGGGTTTACATTTATAATTGTACTGAACTTATAGTATAATTGTTTTAGGAATTATACATGAGTGATTTTTTTAAATATCACATATCCCCTGCAGTACTCTAAAGTACACCTAGGGGTACTTGTACCCTCATTTCAAGAAGCATTGGTTTAGGCTAAAGAGGACGAAACTGGTTAATTGAATTGATCCAAATCAAAAATCATAATAAATAGGAACAGAGCCCTTGACAGCTCTGGCAGCACTCTGTCATTCATACCTCAATCTCTTGCACTTGCTCTTCATTAGTGATGTACATCTGCTGCAAGGAGTCCTCCAGCTCCTTGTTTCTCTCCAGCAGAGTCTTCCCCAGCTCAGCCGCCAAGTGGAGGTCTGGAAAGAAATTGAGAAAGGGATTAACAAATTATGTCATAAATGCAGAGACGTAAACTGAGAAAAATTGTTGGAGTTAGAAATTAGAAGAGTATGTGAAAAGGAAATGATGGCAGAGGAAATAGAAGGTAGGGGGAGGTCAATCTTAAAGAAGACTGCAGCTGAACAATTTAGATGATCTGCTGTCATGATTAATCAAGCATATGGTTCTATTTTAGGCAGCTATAACTGGGTGTGGAAAGGAATTTATCACAGAGCCACTCTGTCATGTCAGGCCAGACTAACATTTCATACTCGTGGCACCACCAGGTCACTCAGGTAGCACCAGTTCTGGATTTGGAGGCACCACCTCTGTTTTACAAGGTAATGCAAAATAATCTCTATTTTTCACAATTATTTTTAAATACCCTTACCATCCGGTGTGCGTAGCCTGTATTTATAATGAATTTCAGAGAGAGGGAGACTTATGGAACACAGTAAATGGGAAAATCACTTCTGGAACAAGTTTCCAGATTTTGTTATGTGATCACTGTAGTGATCTATAACCTAGCAGTCAACATGATACATACATGCAACGTGTTTGATCCGTTCAATCTAGACCGATTCTGACCTCCGTGCATCGTCTCTGATCAGAACAGCTGTCTGTCAGCAGGAGGACTCAGTGTCTAACTCATCAGAAGAGATTCAACTAAAAAGTTTCCAACACATAAAGAGGCTAACAGGTGACTGATCTGGTTTAACCAGCTGTCTGTGGCGATTACACGTCAAATGCACCAAATGAAAAAATAAACTCTAACCGTAAAGAAGTGGTCCAGAGACTTGATGCGTGTCTCAGAGTCAGTGTGGACTGACACTTTTGACTGAGTAGAAGTCTGTCCTTTGTGAGGCGGGCGAGTGACAGACCTGCAGATAAACGCTGCAATGACAGTATAAGATTGTTACGTGTGTCTGTGGCTACACAGAGGAGCATATTTGAAACTAATTTCATCAGTAGGCCTATGAACTGATTTTCTATAGACTCAAAATAACTCAGTAGACCATGCAGTAGTCTCATCGTCAATATATTGTTACTCTAGCCAGCATTCATAAAAGCATTTCAAATCCTGTCCAGGCTCGGCCCAATCAGACCAAAACAATGCACCACCAGGGAAACAACCCAAACACATTCAGATGTGGATTTCCCTTTGGCTGCCAGAGAAAGTGAGTGCTCCAGAGCCAAAAACCTCAGCGACAAGAGAATAACAGAGAAGGCCAAGGAGGAAAGAAGAAGAGAAAGAGGGAAACGGAGAGCCAGAGGATAAAACTCAGTGCACTGACAATCATAACAAGTCAATACCGGCCACAGAAGACTAACGATCTGTCTGACCCACACAAGATGAAACCACTGAAGCTGGAAGTCAGACATAATCACATCATGTATGAAGAATGCATTTCCTGTAAGCTCCAAATAACTAGCAGCATGTAGTGTTTGAGTGTTCGAAGACTTCAGTTGCACTTTTTGCACAGTAAAAACAAGGGCAACTTCTGGTCTTATTGGGTTTGTCTTTTAAGAATCAGTGGATATGTGTGTTAACGGTATATTCTTTTTTTTCCTCGGTTGAAAAGGTGATCTTTTATTTCCTCCACAGACTGCTTTTTTTTTGGAAGGTGCATCTCATCCATGAAATTCACTGAAAGGAAAGAAACTAGATGCCTCTTCCTCTTCTGTTCCTGCGCTGCATTATAAACCACCCTAATGCATGTTGTGTTACTGAGCAGCTGTACTTAGCGAGATGTTTATGGTCCACACACTGGGACCTTTGTTCTTTAATACTCGTTGGGTAGCATGACTGGTTATTAAGGTGTAACAGGAGCATTCAAACGGGTTGCGGGAGCCTTTCATTAGATGTGCTGCAAGTCAGGCCAGTAAGCCTGCAGTTTCAGCTAGCACTGTCACATACAGTACTTCCTGGTCTCGCTCTGGCTAACACACAATAGCCCATAGCGAGTACCATCATAATTATATATATTATAGTTATATATCCCTCTTGTTTTTCCGCTTCAAGACTCGAAATATGAGCTGTAACTACATTGCAACTAGCTTTCACATTCATCCGGAGGACTCTGCTTTCCAAGTTTAACATCTGCTATTTTTTTTTTACACAAATGATGTCATGGTCCTGTCCCGCTCCTATTTTGAAAGGACTTCCTGTCCCCGACTCAACCTGCCTACAGGAAGCTTTGGTTCATCACTCTCATCAGCTTCACCTGCTCCTCATGTGTTTGCACCTGTTTTCGCCCTTATTTAAGCAGCCCTCTCCCACCAGTAACCTGCCAGATTGTTCTTTGCCTAGCCTAGACTCTCCAGCGTTTTTTGTGCCTGATATTCTGCGAACCAAAACCTTGCCTGTACTTACCGATTACGATTACTTGCCTTGCCCCTGTAAATTTTGGACTGCTCTCTGGTTGTTGAATACCCTGCCTGGACACCTGACCTAAGTACCTGCCTTGCCTGCTCTTTTTACTGACATCCTGTCACTCCCTGGTACTGGCTATTTAATTGGGTCCCTACCTTTACACCTACGGAGGCTGCTCACGCTGCCCTTCGTGACAAATGAAGAATTAACAATAATGAACATTTTTCTATGTGCACTAAAATATATGCATTCATATGTTCTATATGCTAATATGTACAAGTTTTACTCCACCATGTTTCCCCTCAGGTCAGACTGATCAGTGCGAACCAAAACCTTGCCTGTACTTACCTCAGGTCAGACTGATCAGCCTGTCAGTTATTCTTGCAGGACAACAAGGTACTGTGATACGACAGCGGTGTTTCTCACTGAACAACTGGTGGCATCTAGAAATGTCACACGTCTAAAGAAGAGCTCAGGCGGTCAACACTTTGAAGCACATCCTTGCTTTTAGAGCTCTAACATCCTCTGACTTTTTGTTGCTCTTTCCTTCTCACCAACTCCCAAAATAAATACTGAAGAGCTGTTTTTGTCCTAATGTGTTACACTTTGTGCTCAGGAAAAAAAAATCTGTCTAATAAATCTATTACATCATGACTGTAGGTACATGCATGCTTGTGTAGTCGGGTAAAAGCTCAGCAATATTTCACTTCAGCCAACGGAAATGTACCATTATATGGACGAGTGATTGAAAGATGAGGAGAGACGGGAAATGAAGTGATGCAGAGGACAGCCAGTTGTCCTAAGGACAGATGAGTCATTTACAAAATGTATGTGGCATGCATATATTCTTGAGATGGATGATAAATTTAAAACAATATCATTTTTACAGACTTTTTCCACCACCCATAGTTTAGGATTATGCCTCATAATGTGTTTAAACTATTGGGAAATTAAGTATGAAGTATGCAGTGTCCTGTGTGTGGTTCCCCTGAAGTAGAACACAAAACATCTGTTTTCATCTCTGTGGAAATGGGTTCATACCAAGTCTGTCTGGAATAAAATGTACTTTGTATGAATGCTGCAATAAACTGGGAAACCTATTTCCTTTAGAGGTTTCAAACTGTTTAGATATATTAAAATATCAGGACCAACAATGACCATGACATTGCTGTATTGTTTTCACACGATCTTTCCTTTGCAAAAGTTTTTTCAGTAAGAACGTCCACAGGGTCCGTCCATACTTGAACACTTGATGGTTCCAGCCTCTATTTGCTGATTTTCTTTGTTTTATTATTATTATTAGGATTCAGTTAAAGGGTATACAGCCTACCTTTGAAATAATGAATGCACTGTGCTTTAATAATTAGGCCCCGTATTATATCATTGTGAAATTTCATGCAAATATAGGATTTTACCATCAGATTTTCTGGGAACCCATGGTAATATTAGTAGTAGTATTAGAGCGGGCCCTGCAGCCTGGTAGCTCAGGGTCTCCCTCACTGTCTCATACTGACCATTTCCAGCAATACGCGGCCCTGCTTGGCGTGCTTTCAATCCATTGTTGTCCAAGACGCACGACCTGTACATTCGACGTTGAACTGATTGAACCGCCTGCACTGAAACTAAGCAAAAACCTCTAAATGACATCTCTGTCGTCTCTTAACATGACAGAGAGCCTTTGTTAAGCGGGAGCAGCTGACCGGCCGGCGCCAGCAGCTGACATGGGGGATGCTGCGGGCGGGAGGAGAGGTCGGTGTCTTGTCTTACCCTGCTCCAGGTCCTGCTGGTCGTACCACGGCTCTTCCTCTTCGGTCACGAATTCGTCCATTCCCCCTGAGTTTAGCATGAGTGACCCCAGCCTCCTGAACCCAGAAAACCGCAGAAACAAGCCCCTGTGGTCTGAACAATAGGCGGGATCCTCAGGAAACAGCGGCCGCTCCTTCAAGCTGGAGATGCGTACAGGCTTTTTTTTAAGTCAAGGACTGCTGTGCTTTTGTGGCTACGTGTTTCCTATTTCCTTCCTCTCTTCTGTTTCCACGGTTACCCCTACCTCTTCCTGTCATCCCCACATCACCGCCCAGCACCGGCCCATCCCGGTGCTCAGACACGCCGCTGCTGCTGCAGAGGATCCTGACAGACGTGGCAACGATGTCGCAATAGCGACACTTCCTCTCTCCCTGTTTCCAGCAGCAGACACACGATGCCTTCACGTGCTGCTCGGAAGCTGTAACAACACACTTTTGTTTCCACTCGAATGCTTTCTCAGGTGCGCCCTCTAGATTTCTACAAACGTGGAGATAAAATGACTCTTAATTTAGACCAATCAGTTGCGAAAGCGCATCTGTTTAACGGTACCTTGGCCGATATAATAGCCTATATGACAACTCTAAAGTTTCAGACAGCATCTAAACGTTGCATTACCTCATTCATCTGATTCGGATGGTGGAGCTCCATGGCGGCCTGGAAATGTGAAATGTAACTGACCAAATGTTTCATTCACAGTGTATACTTAGTGTTGTTATAGACACAAATATGTCTAGTCGGTTAAGGTAGCACACTGACATACGTGGTTGTGCAAGAAAAAGATAACTTGCCTACTCAGCTTAACCCCACTAAACAGCTGTCAGTGGTTGGTGGGAAGCTAGTGAGGGGGTCATGCTTCTTGCAGTGCTACAGATTTTACTGTTTGCCCCTCTACAGTCTGTGTTGACTAGAGAACTCTATGCAGATTTATACTGGACTGAGCTGTGGACTGCACCGAGTGCTTGCTCAAGGGGAATTTGTTGGGTTTTCCTTATAACAGTGTAAGGTCCAGACTTCAATAAAGGTAGAGGGTTGGCAATTCTTTTTATAAGCATTTTTTGTTACATATCTTGAATTTCTCTTTTCATTCCTATGGCAATGAATACATTAAATGCAATGACAACATAAAAAACTAAAGCTGTCATCTGTGGCAGTAGCAGGGCTGGAAAAAGCCTGAGCAATAATTTTACTCAGCACAAGCAAAGCCATTGGATGGCCTACCTGCCTGTCAGCCTACTTCCTACCTGTATGCATCCTGTCCTTGCATGAGCTAAGAATCTCCCACAAGGCCAGGCAGGCAGATGTGTTACTGCTCTGTTTTGATAGCTAAAGCCAGCGAGCTCTGGCAGAGAAGGTACTCAGCAGCTTTCATTCTCATACAGGGACTGTTGTTACAGACCAGACCTTCCCCTTCAAGACATATGGCCTTGTAGGTGATGTTGTTGTTGTTGCCAGAAGTTGCGACCTGCATGCAATATGAGAGCAAGAAGGCCGCCACATGGATCAGACTCCTTTTAAATGCAGCCACCGGTAGGAAAATGCCAACAGTAGTCAGCTCTAAGGGTATAGATAGGACTGTGATACAGTTAACTGGGTATCAAAGGCCACATGCAGTGTTCTTGTTACCAATACAGAATAAAGCCTGTGTTTTGAACAGTGTGAGCTAAATCAACTGGCCTATACTCACAGGACATCCCAGCATTCTATCACAAAGGGGTTAATGCACACTATGATCCCTATTTAGTCATAAAGCACTGGCCCTTTCCCTCAGTGTCAATGACCTTCACACAACACATTCATCTTTTCTTCTGTGGTATTTAGAATGGAAATGAGATATGAATCAACACTGTGAGACTGTCAGTGGTTGTAGGCTGAATGTGAAACTGTCATTTCAAAATACAGTTGTCGCTCATGCCTTTAAGAACCCCAAAAACTGTTTGATCTTGGCACATTTTAACAGCAGCAGCAGCTATATTAAATATACTTTGTGTTGTGTGAAAGATGTAATTTGTCGTAGCCTATCAAACCCACACAGTAACATCACCTGACTGCAGCTCCCCTCACTTCTACATAGCATTTTAGAATCTTCCAGCTCATTGTTTTGGTTTTCTGGTCTCTCACAACTCTCAGGCTGTGCGGGGTCTCCTTGGTGAAGTTTACATGGCTCTGTTGTGTGCCTATTTGTTCTATTATGTGTTTTAGCAATTGCCTGTTATGTAAATCGCCCTGTTCAGTGTTAACTTTGTCTTTTGCCTGCCACCCTGAGTGTGGCTGCTGTTATGTTATCTTGTTGGTTACACAAAGTGAGCTTCCCAGGGTTGTGCAGTGTAAGGGGCATGGGAGACCATATAGAAAGGCAGACATCTGCCACTCGATTGTACCTGACCAGCTCTAAATGAAAGACAGAAAAAAGCTAGTGCTAGTGAGCAGTGTTGAAGAAACTAGAAAATGTAGCTTTGCAAGTTATCAATTACTTCACACTGGAAGAAGTGTTTTGACCTGTTGCACTGTTCAAAAGTGTAACTTTTAAAGGTAATATTCATCTTCTTGCCAGTCACATGACTACATTTTACTGGATGTGTAGCCTAAATATCTAAGACCAAAAATGTTAAAAATGTTAGGCTTTCAGCAGCTTCATCTTTAACACACTTCCACTGCAGAAACTCTGCATTGTGTTCTTATGAAGTTTTAGGAAATGAGTAATGGCCATTTATGCATGAATGGATGAATGGCCTGGAAAGTCCAAATATCCTTTAATATACACCCACACAGTTAACCTTCATCAAACCCCCCACTCCAGCAGGGCCAGTTTTTCATCAACAAACCTACCAGCTAGGCCGCTATTTCAGAAAGTAAACAACATGGAACATGGAAAAGAACAGCCTCATCAGTCGTGCTTTCATTCTTTGTGAGACCCTTTTTGTAACACAGGAGACCCCACCACCGATACAGAGTGAGGAGGATCAGTGGGCTCTCCATTACTGAAAAAGCCTGTTGTCCGCTTCCCATATGTGTGTGCAAGCATGAGTCAACAAATGTGAACGTACATACTCTTGAGAAATATGGGAGTCAGCTGGCAAGACACCAGATGAATGCATCTACACACACACACACACACACACACACACCAGCCCTTGCTCCTTTTAGAAGGAGCCTTGTCTCCACAGTGACTGCAGACACAAAAGAGGCTCTGGCACAGATGGTCTCTAGCAATGAAGAGAGAGAGGGAGAGGAGGAAAAACAGCGAATAAGTGTTCAGACGTACAGACTGGACAGAGTGTGAGGGGGAGTGAGAAACAGGAAAAGCAACAGCAAACGAGTCAGTGTGAGAAGTGATTGGAGGGGAGAGAGGGAGGGTGAAAGTGGAGAGAGGAGGTACACAAACTCCCCAAGAACAGGAGTTCACATGAGAGAAAGTGACCACACGCTGCAGAAGGAACAGTTGCTGATCTGCTGAAAGAATCAAATTACGAACATCCAGTGCTGCTCCTTCAGTCTTGTCTGGTGCAGGATAACTAGATGAAGACCCTGAAACCAGCAGACACCACAAACAACCGTAAGAAAAACTAGAAGAGGGGGAGGGTGAAAACCAGGAGGTGCACAGGTCTGTAAAACATCCGGCGTTGTTTTATGTAGAACAGGGTTCAGTTCCTCTTTTAGAAAACAGTTCACAAGTGGAAACACTCACAAAGTGGAGCTGCACACACTCTCTCCAGAGGTAAGAACTTTTTTTTTTGCTTTTCATACTGTATGTCAATTTATACTGTACTTTAAACCATCTTAATACAATTTTGCATTAAAAGATCAACTTCACTGCATGGAACTAAGTGACCTTATACTTATTTTACTTGCCAATGTACAAATATTGAAGTAGAGTAGGTGAAGAAGAAAAGAAGATTTACTGAGAACTGAATGAGCTTATTTACATTACCTCCAAAGAGGTCACTGTGCTCCCAGCCTGTCTTGGTGTCTATGTTCTGCTACTTATGAACATGTGGGAGGAGCGCAGAGGAAGGACAAAGAAGAGACTGCAGAGTAAACACAGCCAGCAGCAGAGGTGCTCCAGACCAACGCTGGCAGGTGGTTCAGATTTTTACAGTCAGCTGGACATACGTCTAGAAAACCAAACAAGAATGTATATTGACATGTACTCCTATACATCTATATTCATGTACCTTTGAGGAAATGAAAGTAGTTTGATCTCTCCTGTAAGAGTTGAGACGGATGTTTCATCTCTCAAAACACTGTGCGACTGCATGCCAACCACAAAAAAACCCTCTTCTGTAAGTGTAAGGTGGCAAACCTGTGACTGCTATTACAAATACACTTGCTACAACCCCAAATCAGAAAAAGTATGTAAAATCAATTTTAAAAGAGAAAGTAGTGATGTAGTGTATATATCTAGGACTGATAATGAGCATGATGCTCCAAAAATGGCACATTCACCCAAACGTCAACATAGAATGACGCCAACTTTGACTTCTCTATATATGAAACACTAGGCTCGTGTTAACCATATTTGTTCCCATGCTTTTTATTACCACGCCTAGGTGCACTGATCTGAGATGACTGATTGTCTTCAAGCACTCTGTTCTGTTGCTATTTCACAGCCCTTATCTCCTGTACAGCCTGTCTAGTATCAGCCTGTGGGATCTCACCCACACGTAGCTGCTCCAGTGATGATGACAGACCTCAGCCTTGAAATGCCAGGCCTGAAATAGTTTGCCTCATTTATAATTAAACTGAACATGTAGGAAGGTGCCTCCTGTGTGTGAATACAAACGGACCCGGACTGGAGCAGTGAATCATTCGCAGTCTGTCTTCAATTACACATAACGTGCACACATGGTTCATCTACACACACCAGAAATTCATCAGTGGACTAATTGGGGGTGCTGATATATAATGAGTGAGTACTCACAAAGTACATAGAGTATTTATGGATAAAGGATATATATACTTACCAGGCTTGAGGAGTAATTGCAGGGTGGAAGTATAAACTTACAGTAGTGAAGGGTGGAGCTGTGGGTAAAAATAACTACTACATTCAGAGCAGATTTACATGAGATGGTGAAACTCTCTTGTCTTTTTCTGGTGTACTGGTGTAAGGTCCACGGAGGCCTGCTTTCTTACACAGTGCAGATCTGCTCGTGTGATCTGCATCTGAGAATCAGCATGACAGTGAGTGAGGAGCTGCTGGATATTCTTCAGAAGATTGGGACCAAACTGTTGGATCTCCCAAAGGCCAATCCACTGGAGCTGGGAGCCTTCTCTGTGCTCCTTTTGTTTGTTGGTGAGTTTTACTTGTTTAGTCTTAAGACACAGATGCATCCAGTGATGTTCAAAGGATCTTAAATATGGGGGGTGGGGGTTTGAATCCTGAAAGTGAGCTGACTGTAGTCTAGATTTTACACATAACGAAACCACAGTACCCCCAGCAGCCTAACACCACCCTCAGAAAATGTATGCTATCCTAAAAAGGCCAATACATTTTTAAAGTGTTTGGATGTTTTTGCAGTTTATTTATTCAGTTAGGTGTTAAGCTTTACCTTCTATAAATTTCATTTTCCAACATGTAGGCCTACAATGACTTTATATATTTCTGTTTGATACTGTTGACTTGACCTAGATTGATTTCTGATCACAAGGTGCCAGCAGAAGTTTCTGTAAACACAACACTGACATACATTTTGATCAACTCATAAAGCTGATATGATGAACATGTTAGCCAATATATGTTTATTTACACAGCCAGCACATATAAAGCAACAACATTATCCATTTATGTCATGTTTCTGGCCACCAAATGAATGTTAAGTCCAGTATTCGCTTTCTTTCTGCTCTGATTTGGGCTCCACCAATTCCTGGGGGAGATGTGCTGTTATGCTGAAAAGCTAGTTTCTTGACTTTATGTGGCAGCCACTGGGTATTAGTGAGGTAACACTCAATGTGTTTTGGCTGAAAACAGCTGTTTGACACCAGAAACTATGTGAGATTAGTACAAATAAACCAAAGCAGTAAGGCTACAGGCCTTAAAACCAAAATAATAAGCTAAAAGATGCTTAAAAAAGTGAGAGAAACTGCACAGATGATCTGCCTTTTGGCTTAAAAAAGTGAGAGAAACTGCACAGTCAGATGATCTACTCCATCTCCTTTCTCTCCTTACAGCCACATTTCTCTTTTTGATCGTGCTGTCCTGTGTCCACTGCTGCTGCTGTGAAAACCCAAAACACCAGGTATCCAGAGTTCAGCCTCTATAAACCAACTGAGGAGAAGACAAAGAACAGATCTTTACAAACGGTTGCCCAGAAGGAAAATGTTTCTATTCAGAGTCACTGATTTTTTTTTTTTGGAGCTAATGAAAGGCAAGTCATAAAAGGAAGGATGGTGACACATTTCCAGTTCTGGGATAAAGACTGGATCCACATCCAGAAAGCCATGCTACTGGAATCTGGATAAATCAGCAGAGTGGGACAACCCATAAAGATTCATTACAGAGCAAGACAATAAAACACTGGTATCTCCGTTCAAAACACAATGACTCTTCTATTGAAAATTTTGTAGTTTGGTATCCAGTTATTCCAACTTGTGTATGTTCAACAGAAACTTGGTGGTGTAAAAATAACACAGAGCGCCCTCTGCTGGTTCAGTGGAGAGATTTGTAATGGAAAAAGTGAGCAGTTTGTAGTTTGTACCACAGTTACAAATGTAGTCTCATTATTTTATAACAACAAAAAAGTGTTGTACTTTTTTTACTGAGGCAGTGTTCCATTTGTGGATGTAACTGAAGCTGCAAAGGGAAGATGTGATTGTTCTTACATATGTAAATGTAATAAATGTCCCATATGTTTTACTTGATTCTTTTTATATGACTGAATGTAAAGATATCACTTTCTCTCAAATCATGATATAATCTCCCAACTAAATACTGCATGACTTTACTCTAATAATTGTATCAAAATAAGATTTCCTCTAAATCTGTGACAAACTGCACTACTGTATGCACAGCTTATCAGGTTTCTCCTTTGCCTCCAGCAGTCAATATTGTAAGCAAACATTAACCAGGAGCTGTTGCTTTTACTTTGTCGTGCCCACATAGAGAGTGAATCCGGAAAGCACAAGGACTAGAGCTGTTCGAATTTTGATGACTCCGTGCATAAACTGATGGTAAACTAAAATGTTTGGGTTGTTTTCTGATAGTTCCAGGGCTGTGAGTGGATCAGAACAGTAGCTAAAGCAATCTGTTGTACACACCACAGCATATGTAACCTCTGTTAGGAGTCACCGAGCCGTGAGAGGATCATTTAGCAGGACATGGCCATGAAGAGGTGAGTTTATGAACAGGAATGTGTTGGGTGACAATAGTTTATAACATCAGCAGATTTCTCTGGAGCATGCGAACAAAAAGCATGTTAGCTTCTGAAACGTTTTATTGCCTTTTCAGACATTTTATCAGGCTCTGTGGGTTCTATAAAACATTACTGTTGACAACTAATGGTATCAACTAGCATCATTATCTCAATTTAATATCCAGTTTTCTCCATTTGAGCTTTTATCTGGTTTATCACTCGGCAGTGTTCCAGACCAGCAGAAACCACCAGGGTCACCTGAGGACTGGGTGGAATGGTTCCTGTATCGGCTGCATCAGGAGCCGTGGGCCCTGGGTGGGGCTGTGGTCATTGGAGTGTTTGTAATGATGTTCCTGTCTCTGGTTGTCTTTGCTTTGCTGTATGGATGCTGCTGTGGTTCAGGCAAAGAGAATCAGAGGAAGAAGCTGCAGAGATCGAAGCGGGATGGGGTGATCTAGACGTGTGTGAACATAATGTTAAATGGATATTGACAAGATGGAAAATATGTGTACAATTATTTGGATCATTTTGAGATGTAAATTGGACTTTTCACAGCTATATACACATTTTGAAAGATATAAATTTCTTCAGTATAAATCATTGTTGCTAGGATTAGTGTCTTCGAATGTTTAAATATTCATATTATTATTAGATATTAAAGACAATGAAATAAAGAGGTGTACATGTATCTGCAAATATGATTCAGTGGGTGTAGGTATAGAACTGGATCATCTCAGCCTGATGCAGTTGTAGTTGCCTGAGAGAGAGACATTGCTCAGATATTTTTACCTAGGCCTTTCAATTCAATTCAGTTTTATTTGTATAGTACCAATTCACAACAACAATCATCTCAGGGAACTTTATACAAGTCTAGATCTTACGGTATTATAGAAAAAAACCCAACAAATCCTCCTTGAGCAGGACTTGGCGACAGTGGGGAGGAAAATCTCCCTTTGATGAATGAAACCTAAGACAGAACCTGACTCTTGGTGGGCGACCTTCTGTCTCGACTGGTTGGCTGATATGGCTGTTTCACTTAAGGACAGAAGAAAGAAAAGTAAAAAAAAAAAAAACACTGATCAGGTTGGTGTAGCTGGTGACTGCTCATCAGAGGCGTAGAGCTCCAGAGCCAGGGCAACCTGCAGAAAGGTGCAGGGAGAGAGAGAGGAGACACAAAGTTAGTGATGTGTAGTGGTGACATATAAAAATGAAATGAAGAGAGGAGCAGAGAGGTACTCAGAGCACCACGGGAGGCCCCCCAGCCTAGGCTTATAAGAAAGTTCACCAAACCAAACGTATCCTAGAATGCATGTCCAATTATTTCATAGACACAACTACATGAGTACAAACAAAAGCCAACCTGTTGACTAGAATCTACTGGTACGGTTAAATATATTCAGTGACAAGAGAACAGCCCAGGCCCAGTGTTTGCTTTCAGTTACTAAGGTGACTGTCAGGTTTATCCCTGTTCAGCCACACAGGCTGTTATGGTGCCATAAAATATCAGAGGACATAACACAACATGCTACCTTTCATGCATGACTTATGAGAATAGTACTCAAGATTTTTTAAAAGGATGTTTTTATTATTCACAATTGTGCTAAAATTGAAATGCATGTAGTTTATTTCCCCACAAAATTTAGTTTTATTTACAAGTTATTTAACTTGTAAATAAAACAAGTTATTTAATAAAGTATAATAAGGAGTATACTGTATCTATTTTAGGTTATGTTATGCTCTTTATATATAAAACAATTGTTTTTTGGGGGTATAAAGATTACATTTTACTCTACATTTAGGCTTACAAAACTCAACAATGTTCATCGCAGTTTCCTGTGCATGCTAACATATTTTCTACCTGCACTGGCCTTTTTGATTATAAGGTTTTCACAGATATACCTAAAGCATTTTGCACATGTGTACTATTGTCAGCCATCTTGGACCGAGGGTGTCAGCGATCAAATAGTTTTTGGAATACAATGTAGTAACTACTGTTACAGTATCGTAGTGGGTGTACTATACTGCCCCAAGCTGGTTTGCAACACTAATCTAACCCAAAATGGAGTTAAATGTCCATAAACTTGGACACTATGCATGAAACGGCTAGACACACCCAGACAAAGTTCTGCCTATGTAAAAAGCAAGAAAAGGAAGGATTAATGTTGTGGATTTTTCTAAATTTCTGGTAGTTCTTAAAGCACTCTCAAGTGAAAGAAGCAGCATTGTGCCTCTTCCAACTGAATGCTGGGGTGTATGTGATTGTCTTTTAATGTGGTAGCTAAATGAGATTATTTTCAAACTGCTAAATGAGCTAAATGAGATTATTTTCAACTGACACAGTTAGACAGGTAAAGAAAAAAAAAACAAATTTTCACAAGACAGGAATGTTGTGAGCACATGTGGCCTATATAGATATTTATTTGTTCAGTGATGCAGAAGAAAGTAAGATCATCTGAAATAAAATACCTTTTTCTCTTGTTTACTTTTTCAAGATGTTTTCCTTTTCATATTAGCACAATGTAATGTAATGTTTGGTCCAGTGATCCAAATTTAACACATTAAATATTTTTCACTTATTTAAAAAATGTAAGGATTTGTTAAGATCAACACTTTCGCCTTCTTTCAGCCACAGATTAGGTGTCACCCTCAAGAAGAACGCACAAATAAACAAAAGAACTACATTTCCCTATCTTTACTGGTGTTTGGGCCCGACAATGTCGCTGACGTTATTACTCTGCGACTAGGGATTTATGCGACATACATGGCAATGGCGAGCGGTAAAAGGAGTGCTTTACTTTCCTCTTTGGCAGCCTATGGGGACGATTCAGAACCTGACTCTGACCTCGAACCGGATGAGACAGGTATATGATAACAACTGAAGTATTTCTTAATGTATATTGGTAAATAAAGTGCCGCTTAAAGCTGTGGGAATTTTACCCTGGAACTTGGTGCGGAAGCTAATATTAGCTTGTAGCTGGATTAGTGAATGTACATATAATGTTGACTTTGTTTAGGATTTGATAGTAAAAACCAGTCACATAGCGTAAAGTTAGACAGACTCTCGTTGGTGATATTTCCAGGTACATAGTTCATTTAAAAATGTAAAGGTCTCATCCAGAGTGGTCTTTTGTTTTTCTGTACAGTTACCTTGAATTCAGGTGATGTATCGAAGTCTGTTTCCCCTTACTACTTTTTGGACATGTGCAGAGGAGGGACAGTGGTTATATTGCTAGAAGGGTGTCGGAGATGGGGCTGCCGGTCAAGAGGAAGGCCAAAGAGGAGATATATGGATGTGCTAAAAGAGGACATGAAGTTAATTGGGGCGAGAGTAGAGGATGCCGAGGATAGAGTTAGGTGGAAACAGATGATTCGCTGTGGTGACCCCTAACGGGAACAGCCGAAAGTAGTAGAAGAAGAAGAAGACATGAACCTCATCCTATCCCTAACCACCGAGGAGGCGTTACGGGAAGCTGTTTTAACAGGGGGAGCGCACTTTAACACCACATCGCCGTCACATTAATGACATTTTGTTTTTCAGTCTCGAGTGCTTGGGCAGTGTATGTCTAGTAAAGCAATGCTATATTCCTGGAGAATGGCACTGTGGTATTTTCTTGTAGCTCTGATCAACAGCTTATATGACAAGTCACAGTAAAGAGATATTTTGCTTTAGTCAAGACTTTCATTCTCTCTTACTTCAGTGCCAGTGATGTTGATTGGCTCTTGTACCTATCCGACTTCTCTCCACTTTTTCTTTGTACTGTCCTTTTACCTCTTCATCTCTTGGTACTCATCACCAGGGGGCCGTGGAAGTGGTCTGGTGTACAGCTATGGTGAGGATGATCTCAACCGAAATGAGGGTGCAGATGACAAGGGATCTGGAGATGAAGACAGTAGAGAGAGCAACTCGGTCAGTATTTGAGTTCTCAGTTCATTTCTTCAGGTTTGATTTTTACTGATTGTTCAGTTGGATTCCTCAGACAATTACATGTATATTGTAAGTGATAGAAAAAGCACTGCACTAAAATTGGAGTTAGAGATTATGATGCTTTTTGACATGACTGAATTTGATGTGATGATGCATTAAGTCTTCACTGGAAAGTGGGGAGGCTGACGGGATTGTACCAGTGCTTTGTTTGGTTGTGGCAGTAGTTGCCATGACAGAACAACTACTGCCATGATGAGTGTGTAAATAGCCACAAAGCATCAATATGTGTTTCTACTGGGATAGGGTGATGAGGATCTTAAACACTGTTGGTACCAGTACTGCAAAGTCTTTTGAAAATGAGCCAGTGTAGACATTTTCACCCAAATAACTAATATTTATAAAATAGAAAATGCTTCTCTGACAGTGTTGTCAGCAAAGCGCAATTTTCACAAAGAAGGAATTTATTAGAGCACTTTACAAATTAATTATATTATATTACAGTGTACTGGGGTTCTATCATAAATCTAGTACTGTAAAAAGTATTTTAGATTAATGGCTGATCCAGTGAAGTGAGAGATGAAACTGTTTCTTGTCTCCATACAGATTCATAGGCCACCAGTACACTACAGAGCACCACACTGATGAAGTATTTTTATAGGCCAACCCAGAAGTTAGCGTCACCCCGGTTCCTCCGGATTTTTCCATAGGCTTTTGAGTTATTGCAGAAAATAAAATCTGTGATGAACAAACCAGTGAACACCGCCTTTATGAATTTTGAAGCCTAAATAAGATTGGTAGAAGTAAAAAGCTGTTGTTAGGCTATAAACAAACTACACCACAGTCCTATGACTTCAGCATCACTATCATGGCTTCCAACTCCGGCACTTACCACTTCTAGACAAAACATTTGAGAATCACCCTAATTATTGCAGTTCATCCTGATGGGATCATCAATGTCTAAGGCAAATGTCATATTAAGCCAAGATGTTAAGACATTTCACTCATCATCACTACCCAGAGTGTTTTGTAAAAAAATGTCATTAGTCCACTGAGAAATGTTGAAATAAGTTTTCACCAATCAATTTGTTCTTTAGCTACACATTCCAAAAACATTAGGACAGGTAGCAATAAGAGGCTGGAAAAGTTAAATGTACATATAAGGAACAGCTGGAGGACCAATTTGCATCTTATCAGGTCAATTGGCAACATGATTGGGTATAAAAAGAGCCTCTCAGAGTGGCAGTGTCTCTCAGAAGTCAAGATGGGCAGAGGATCACCAATTCCCCCAATGCTGCGGCGAAAAATAGTGGAGCAATATCAGAAAGGAGTTTCTCAGAGAAGAATTGCAAAGAGTGTGAAGTTATCATCATCTACAGTGCATAATATCATCCAAAGATTCAGAGAATCTGGAACAATCTCCGTGCAAAGGCGTGCATGTCTGAAAGGCACTAGTGAGTCAGTTTTGGACCCCAAAATAATTTTAAAAGACTTTGTAGCATAAAACATGAAAACAGTTGGACAATTTTCCAGTTCACTGCTGGATGCTGGTTGTAATTTAGTCAGTAGTGTAATTTGGTTCCACCTCCTGGTCTCATCTCCTTTTTGATCCTTGTGGTGTTAATATTCTGCATTTTGTTTTTATAGGAAATGGAAGACTCTGACGAGGGGAGAGACGCAGATGATGTTGAGGTATTTGAACACCCACCTGGTGTGGGATGGCAAAGGATCAAGCCTGATTCATTTATTTGTTTTGTGACTAACAAAGAGTGAAAGGATGGCACATGCCATGAGGACACATGTTCATTAGATGGTGCTGTGGGTTTATGTATATCTGATGAATAGTCCAATATGTGAGAACATATACAGTAGGTGAGACCAGGTCACTGATTTGTACTTGAATCATGTTCCTTGTTGCTTGACTCATCTATCCTCAAGTCTTTCCTCTTTTGAGGAGAAGAGTTGGACCAGCAGTGTTGTTTTTCAGAGCACACTGCTGAGATCTGTGCAGTTGTACCATACTAACCCCACCCTCTGTGTGTGTGTGTGTGTGTGTGTGTGTGTGTGTGTGTGTGTGTGTGTGCTTTAAAGCTGTGAGGGCTGGACACCCTGCCAGATTCCTG